AACCACTGGAATCTGGGGATACTCAGCACATCTGGCAGCAAGACACATTATTTTGTCAATATACTTATTCCTGCACAATATTCAGAGGACTGTGTTCAACGCTAATTGCGCCGCTCTTCCACTGTCTGTTTTTAGAAAGCCAGATTTTTACATTTCAGTGTCTTCATCGGCCAAATACAAATAATAATCCTCATCCTGCTTAGCAAATCCTGACAGGAATCCTGGTTTCCTAGTCTCACAACAGTCCCTCTAACAGGTCTATCCCAGAGACGTGGACTCTCGTCAAGAAATTGGTGCCTCCAGTCTGCTATAGCTGCAAGGCAGGCAGGGCTCCTGCAATTCAGCCTCGGGTCTGCGGAAGCGTTTGAAGACATCAGGGGAAAAAGATAAAATCAAGAAAAACTGAAGCTTAGCAATTCAACATTTTCCAACAGGACTTTCCACACAAAGCGCATCTGAATGAAGCGGCCAAGTTCAGAGGCAGGGCAAATATTATCCGAAGAAGAGTATGGCATCCTGGGCACTGAGTAGAGCAGCCAGGGTGCCCAACCAAGCATTGCACTGTGCCGGACACATACACCCTCAGAAGTCTGGAAGAAGATTACTGCAGCAATAATAGCATAAAGAATAAGATTAAGTTAAGAAGCTGACTGCCTCATAGGCCAAGAGATGAGGCAAAATTAAGAAGAAAGGAGTGTTATTCCCATTCGTCCTCAGAAAAGAAGGACAAGCAGTATCTGTGCCACTATTGCTTTAAGCAAGAAAAAAGGGCAAAATCTGAAAAGCAATGTCTTATAGGATCACATCTGGAGAATGAATGCCACAGGTTTATTCCAGAATTACAGAGTCACTGAAGAACAGTGCAAGCGGTAAGAGAAGTGCTAAGAGAACAATGCAAGTGCTTCATCTCTCCTATGAAGAAAGGCTGAGGGAGCTGGGCCTGTTCAGCCTGGAGAAGAGAAGACTGAGAGACGATCTCATCAGTGTGTACAAGTATCCGAAGGGAAGGTGTTGGAGAGGACGGGGCCAGACCATTTTCAGTGGTGCCCAGTGACAGGACAACAGGCAACGGGCACAAACTGAACCACAGGCAGTTCCATCTGAACCTGAGAAAAAACTTCTTTCCTGTGAGGGTGACAGAGCACTGGAGCAGGTTGCCCGGAGAGGTAGTGGAGTCTCCTTCCCTGGAGATATTCAAAACCCGCCTGGGTGCGATCCTGGGAAATATGCTCTAGAGGACCCTGCTTGAGCAGGGGGGTTGGACTGGATGATCTCCAGAGGCCCCTTCCAACCTCAACCATTCCGTGATTCTGTGAAAAGATGAAGTTACACTGGAGGAATCTTCTGGCAGCAGGATCTATTCAAACACTTAGCAGTGTCTCAAGAGATATGAGCAGTACTGCATACTATTCAGATACTTCTAACGATGCCATCACAATGCTAGAAGATACGTTGTACAGAATAATCTTGTACAGGTAAACAGATGCTGGAGGATTCCTTCCTGCACGAGGCAAAGGGCACAAACTCTTCCTTCCTCCTTGGTTCTGCGATGCCACCCACTGGCTGCAGACAATAACACAACATGGCACTTTGCACATACTCGGCAAACAGCTTTTCATTTCGTAGCTGCACATCCATCGTCTTCAAAGAAAAAGAAAGGTCTTTTAACCACTATTTTCCACAAAATGTGGAAGGGAGCACTACCGCCTCCAGCCCTCCACAGCCTTCAGAAACTGCATTATGATCATCCTACTGGAGAAGGGGGATTTACTGAGTCAACAAAATCCTTCTGAGAGAAAATATCAGCTCTTGCATAAACTCATTGAAAAGAATGACATTCAAAGTGAAAGAGCAAGAAAGTCACTGTCAGCATTTGCAAATTCATACAGGCAAACAGATTTACAAGCTTCTAACGGACATGATGCGTTAGGAACAAATTACAGTGAGATGTAACGTTCTTCCCCTGTTTCTCTAATAACAATAAATAAAGAAGGATTTGTGACCCTGCAAAACATGAAAGGGAGATTATTCAGGGGACAGAGGTCTTCATTCTGTTAGACTGACATATGTGACCTTTCTAGACTCAAAGCCGCTTATGATAGAACTTCCATTAAGCCATGAAATAAATTATGTATGCATCATCCTACTAACACAGAGATGAGAATCTACAGGACTGTAGCTGCATCTAACACGTTTTTCTTTTCACTAGGACAAGAAAGCATTTCAGCAAAGCGCAGAAAGCCTTTAGAAAAACATTAGTAACTCCAATATGAGATGTTTTTAAAATTCTAGGCATTAAGTCAAAGCTAAATAATTGGAAAGCAAAAAAAAAAAAAAAAAAAAAAAAAAAAGGCCTCTGTGCAAACATACCCAGTAAAATAGTTAGCTATAAGTATTAGGGGGACATTATTTTAGTCAAAAGATCTCAGAAAAGTCAATAAAGGGACAACTCACAGGGAAGAAATCACGCAGAAGAATTTTATATGTATATATACCTATAATTTTAAATAACGAAGACAGTGCACTGTCTATGCATCGAAAATCTCTCTGAGCCAGTTTCAACGTGGAGGTATATCAACATTTCAAAAACAAAGCCTTTACAGATTTGGCAGTAAGCATCTTCTCACCGATACAGCTAACATATCTTCCACTAGGGAACTGCCGAATTCACACCTTTGTACACAACTCAGCTCAGAGACACAGAGAGGTTTTGTCCTCTCCGACAGGCAGGTGCAGGCTGTCTAAACTAATCCAGGTCACAGAAGCTGCAAGGGGCTTAGGAAGAGCTTTCAGGAACTGCTTAGTCACCATATAGTGAAGGTAGCAACTTTCCAGAGAGCTGCAATAAGAAATGGCTAAGCGTAGTAATCACTTTGGTTGGCACAGCTGCAGCAGAAATGCCAAGCAATACTATGGTGACTACTGTTTCAACCTAAATTACTTCATTTTAATAGCATGATGAGTAGATGTTTCCTATGGAACTCATTTCACAATCAAGAACTTTCCTTCTCTCTCTCTAAACCTTCACTTCCACAATTTTGACAATCCAGTTGGGTAAAAGTATTTATTTAGAAGCCACTGAAAACAGGATTTAAATAACAAAAGGGTTTCACTGCGGATTGTGTCAGTCAAGTCTGTGTTCAGCTTCATAACAGAATTAAATTCTTGGATTTCTTAAGGCACGGCAGAACCCAAAGGCCTCAAAACATCTGCATGACAGCTGCAAGCGTTTCAAGTCACCCTCTAACAACGTCCAGTCAGCACTAAACATATCAATACTTACTAAACAAACATTAGCGTGTTTGTTTAATAGCGATTGTTGGATCACAGACCACGGGCTCCCTCTGCGAAGACAACCTAGAGTGCTTTATTTTTTTCCCTTGGAAAGCTGCAGAAATACTCTCCAGTAAGAGCGATGTAGAAAAAAAAAGAGCCTGAGCCTGGCAGGGACAGGCAGGAGGCGAGAAGTGGTGGCAATCCCATGCGCTGCACTTGCACACGTCTGGGCTGCCACTCGCCCCCTTTCCCTTCCACTTCTGCAAGGGAAAACCCAAACGTCATCACGTATTTCACAAAACTACTGAAATACTACAAATAAAATTCAACTACCTCACGAAACTCTGAATTCCTTTAGGTACAAACCAGTAACAAATCGCTGCTTTTAGCAAAAGCACTTTACTACCAGTACAGCAGGAGTTTATAATTTTGATGTCTCCTAGTGACTTTTTTTTTTTTTTAAACTAGCATATTAACAAAACAGGAATAGTTCACAGATTCATTCCTTAATACAATCCTTTCAGTTCTTGTTCTAAAGATTTTGTTCAAGAACACTGTGGTCAGAACTCGAGAGAAAACAGAAGCAAGTTTTCTTCTCGTTTCTAAATTACTGATCTTGTTAGATTCAAAGTTGCCAAAAATCATGCACTGATCAATAAATTACTAATCTCTTGTGCCTGCTAGGAGATATTATTCTAAGATTTGTTTTTTTGTGAGGCATATATTGCCTCATAAGAGAGAGAAACTTAAGACGTGGATTAGCCTGCATGTGCCAGTCAATGCATAACAACATTTTACTGCTGACTCAATTCCTTCTGCTAATGAGGAATCCTCCTCAGAAGTTAGCTGTTCATGCACACTGTTTTAACAGGAAAGAAGCCTGCTTCTATGATATCTACAGTATTCATTTGCCAATTTTTTTTCTTTTAAGAAAGGATTTCTTAGAAGATGAAAGTCATTCTCTTAAGAGTTTATCCTTACAAAATACAAAGAGAAAGTTTGGACAGAATAGTATCTCATAAATCATATCTAAGATAACTTAGAGTATTTAACAAATTATAATCTAGAACTGCAAATAGGTCTGTATTCGAATCATCTCACAGATACTTAAGCAAAAAATTAACTTCATTTGAATTGCTTGCAAGAACTGAGTTAATAAAGGTGCTTACGATTAGCTGAGGTACTGATACAGTTGGGAAAAAACCCCAAACTTTCCAGCACACAAGACCTTCGACCTCTTGCTTGAAAACGTGTAGTTTATTCACTTTTTTGTTCACACTTCAATAGGCAAGCAGAAGCTAAATACTTAAAAATATATATATATATTCACTGATATTCAAAACTGAATATGAATTAAGACTGAAATCTTAATCAGTACGTACCAACTTGCAAAACAAACAACCCTCCAAAAACAACTGAGCTCCAATGCCATAAAACATTAAAGACAAATCAAAAAACAAATTTGTCTGAAATACCGAACTTAACTGTTGCCTGTAACAACGCTGAGTTTTTGAACTGAGAAACAAGAAATACCTTTTTTAAGGATTGGTAGGATAAAGTTAGAAGCAGATGATACATAGGACTATATATTTTTTGTCTGTTTTTAAGACAATTCAAAGGCAATCATCCTTTTAAGGAAAGCACAGAATATGCAAGAAGTACATTAACAAACATATATCAAAACAAACATATTTCAAAAATATTGTAGCATTAACATAACTCACCAGTACTATAGTATCTTTTAAGTTCTGTGCGCCTGATGTCTTTCAGTTGATTGTATTTTTTCTTTTTCTTCTCTTTGTCTGGAGCAGTTTCCTTTTCCCCAGCAAATCTACAGTTGTCTTCAGAAGAGCTGATTTGCTCCAAAATGGCTTTGCTTTCATCATCTTTCTCAGAAGTAGTTTTGGAAACAGGAGATCCAGAGGAATTGGCAGAGACAGTCTCAGTGTTTTGTTTGGCTTGCCTTTTCTTTTTCAAACTATGCATGAAAAAAAAAAACCCACAACATTAGGCTGTAGCTATCCTGTACAAATAGATTAACTCACTTGCTAACTTTGTTTTTAAAAAATGAATTCTGTATCAAGATTCATTACAACTCAATAGAAAAAACACAAGTACTTCCTTTCAACAGTAACTCATTAACTAACGTTATCTCAGGGCATACGCTTCAATCATCGTATCATTTCAAGGACATCTCCAAGAATAATAAAAAATAATATCAAAAAAATAAAGTTTTTGCAGTTATTTTCCCTGTTCTTCCTCCCCAGGAAAAGAATTAAAAAAAAACACACAACTGGATTTTTTTTGTAAAAACAAATGACTAAATATAGAAACAAGTTACTGAATAATGTTTTGAAGATGAAACCTAGGATAAAGTAAAAAAGCATAACAAAAAAGGTCATAATGTATTCTAATGCAACAACTATCATTGTAATTTCAGTCAACTATTTCTGCTACATAAACTGCTTGTTTTCATATAAACTTGTTACTTACGTCCATTTTGTCCAAGGTCATCTACCAGCAGCCACCCATTCTAACGTACAGCTGCTCTTACACAACCCTCATCACCTCGTATCCCAAGCGTCACCCAGCAGCTCACTAAGAAACGCGGCTGCAAACTGTCCAGAAGCATTCCTCAGCTGTTACAGCTCCGCTGAGAGAAATGTTCCTGACCTGCCTTTAAATCTTCAAACCTATCGCTATAGCAACAAGAGTATTTTCTTTTTAAAATGAAGCCTTAAAACAAAGCTGAAGTGAGAAAGGTGCCTCAGGAATCCTAACACACTGAGTTTTCTGCTAAATCACCATCTTTAGTATTGATTTTCTGCAAGAACAAAGGCTCATTTCATAGGGTGATAGTCAGAGTCATTACAACAGTCCTCTGTTACCATCTGTTTAAGAATCATTGACATACACGGCACAAAATGAAAAACTACTCTAAGGATCCTTCTCTCTAGTACATTAAATTTTCAGTTACATGGTACCTAAGGGAAGGAGCAGTATATTATGCACACAGTTGGAAAATACAGACAACGAAGGATTCACTGCAAACGTGAAAAAGTTACCTGACCTCATACAAGTGGTTTAGATAAGTATGGGAAAATCAAATGTCTATGCAGGAATTTGAGATGCTCCCTACCATCTCTTACATTCGTACTCTACAAATTTATTTTTTCAAGCTACAATGTAAAAATAAATACACAGAATACTTTGAGAATTACAGTAAGACATGTCAGGTTACATATCAGTTTTTCCATCAAAAAAACATAACACCAAAATCAATTCCCGATTTTAGAATATCCAGCTTGAGATCCCTAAGAAGGGTCACTTTTGCGAGCCACAAACAACCAACATTTTCCATGAAACGTTTCAGAAGATCATCTCACAAAAGCTGTGGCTATCACGCACATACATAAATACAGTTCTTCAGTGCTTCCTAAATCATGACTGCAAGAGATCCACGTTCTGCAGCAAACTCAGTGAGGACGAGCCCTACCTCTGCTGTAGCTCCCCATTCATTCAAACCCATGGATTTCTAAGACAACTAGTAGTTCACGCTCTGCACAGCAAAAGAGATTCAGTGTGTGTGAAACTTCACAGATCAGATGCTGACTACACATGAAAACAACCTCCAGGGATTTATAAAAGTGAACACATCTACATAACAAATGAAATTGTTCCGTTTAGATTAATGAAAATTTGAGTATACAAAGGAAGCTTCTTTTAGACTAATAAGCCACAGTCTTGATCAAAGGCTGCTGTAACAGCTACAAAATACTACAGTCGCTTTGCAAACATATGTCTAAATTTAGACCTGGTAGAAATCTTTGCAAAGCAGTTCTCTACACTGGAATTTCATAGTCTTACATCACAGTTGAACTTGTTTCCAGATTTGTAAATGAGACACGTCCCCAATAGTTTACTCTGCTGAAACAATGACCTTCCTGCACGTGCGCATATCACAGGATATTGAAATCATCTGGTTCAACAGACTAGAACTGGTAAGCCCCAGCTAGCAGCCCCTCTACTACTCACATCTGAGAGCCCACTTTTTTCAGTTCCTAATCTATTTGTTTTGATCACAAACCTCATTAAGCAAGTTTTCCGTTGTATAAATATAGTATCGCAACACACACACACACACAACACCAAAACATATAAACCTTACAAAAAAAATAAAAATAAAAAATTATCTCCACAAGTCAACAAATGTCATGACAATACCGACAGCTTCCATCAGTACTTTTCTTAAAATGTACTTATTTGAACCGGAGCTTTTAAATTTGCCCCAGGCAACAAAAAGAATAAAGAGCTAAAATAGGATTGGCCCACTAGCGATAGAAAAGAGGAAAGCAGAAATGACAGTCTATATGTGGCAGTCAGTCAGTCAGTCAACACGACACTGACTCATTCTCCTCACTGCAGCGTTCAACCTTGCCCCGATTCCCGTGTCGCACAGCCCACTGAGAGCTACTGACACAGCCCACAGCAACTCTGGCACACAACTGCTGCTGCAGATGGCCAAAGCAAAGCATCACAGGTGCACTCTTCAGCTAAGAGTGACCAAAGATCTGGGTGCTCCAAAACTTCTGTTCTCTACGCATGACATGCGTCAAATTTTCAGGTAATGCAGAGCTTCCTCCTCCTGCTCACCGCTCCATTTCAAAGCGATGGTCTTTCAACTCTTGAAGGGGCAACCTCAGCACTAGAAAAAAAAATACTGGATGAGGGTTGAGTATCTGTGAGGTTCATCAGAGGACTCCGAGCTACTGCAACTCTACCTGGCGTTATGACCTCTACTTCGAGGATGCTGCTTTTAAAGGTCTCCTAAGCCTGGCTAAACCTACAAAAACCTTTAGGCAGTCTTAAAAACCCTTGACTATAGTATTCTGAGGAACCAAAACAAAGTATTCAACATTACTTAACACCAAAAACACAGCATCTGATGTATTACGCTTTCTGACACTGTTTACCAGGTGCGCCCTTTAGCCTAGCAAATACAAAGTCCTATACAAACACAAGGCAACTCATTATTACTATGCACTGGTACAGTGCAGCAGTGATTAGGCCGCAAAGAGAGGAGGTGGAAGGTTTACAGTACCTTAGCCACCACTCCTGCCCCCCAGAGCACCCCCCGCATCTCTACCTGCCCTTCTCGCACTCAGCCGCACAAGGCAGCGAGGCGGACTGGGCACCCATGCACGCCGCCAGTCCCCCTTCCGCTCACCCCAGCTTACAGTAAGATTTCAAACCCATCATCTTCTGGGGAAGGAGGTAGCCAAAGGTCTTCTCTGCTTCTCTCCCAGACCTCTGGTATTTCCCACCGTTCACAGCGCGAGCTGCCACGCAAGATCAGTTTTACAAATGGTTTCCCTTCTTCAGCTTTGGAAAATTTCTACTGGTTTTGTTCAGTTTTAAAGGTAATCTCTCTGAATAAAAACAAAATTTAGTCTTGTCCTAATGATTATGAGAGCAAAAGGGAGCTGAAGGACAAACTACCCCCCCCTAAATTTGACCATAGCGTCAGGTTTTGCAATTAGACCAGCCTTTTAAACCAAACAATTCATTTCTTTTTCAGCAAATGGACAAGCTGTTACTGCAGCAGGGATGTTTGTTTTGCAGTATCACAGTTAATGGGTATGTTGTGTTTCACTGGGAAGGTTGCTGAGGATGCAGAGAGAAAAGGGGAGGGCAGGAGAAACTAACAGCTTATCTGCAAAAACATTCAATTTTCTGACCAAGCAAAGAGTCTTACATAGCTGTAACTTCATTTAAACACCAGATAAAGTCTCTCAACCTATTTGGTTCTGGCAGGCAAAATAATTTTTCTGTATTTATTTACAGGCCTCTTTTTACTGATCCTCAAAGTGTTTTCTGAGCCACAACTGGCATTCTATTTTCCAAGCCTGCCTGAATACATAGTCTTTCAGTAGAGTCTTCAGTCTGCTACTGTGAATAATGGCCAACATGGAAGCCTTACTACTAAATCCCGTGAAAATCATGGGTACTGAACACTTTCTGAACACTGTGAGCTGCCAGCAGAGATTTTGCTGGGTTCTACCCTATTGGAGGAACAGAGGAATAGAAACATTTTGCAGTGCAAAGACCATTCTCAGGCTACTTAACACAGACTATTGATCTGAAATGGGTATAATTCCAGATGAGGTCGATAAAAATATTAAGTCAACAGTGCTTTTTTAAAAGTATTTTGCAACTGACTTTTAAAGAGTCCAGCCATTGACTTACAGGAAAAGAGCTAGGAAACATTTCAAGAAAAGACCTAGTTCATCTCCCAGACCCAGGTCCATCTGACTACCTACAAAAGGCAAATAAATACGCATTTTTTGATGAATAAGACAGACTGAATTTCCCATAACTCTAAGAAGAGAGAGAGGCTTAGTGTAAACACAAAACTCATCACACAAACGAGAAACAATCTTCTAGTGGAAACTGGGTAGAGAAGATTAAAAACAATTGGGGAACCTGATGCATCTGAGAAAATAAAGAAATAGGAATCTGATAATAAAACATCTTTTTCAGTACATTATATTTGGTTTTGATTAAGACTCAAATGCATAGCAAAAAATTGAACAAGAACTCATTCGGTAGATACTCAATTAATCATAGACATAAAGAACACCAGGTCCACATCTTAGGGTAATAAGACAACGCTTGATTTTTTATGATATATTAGATTAAAAACATCAGAGATGCTCAGAGTACAGACAACCCTCTACTTAACAACAAAAGCATCTAATAAAGTGGCCCTGCAACAAATATGTAAAAAGAAAGGGGAAGGGAGCAGAAATCTTCATTTTATCTTCAAGTTGACAGAGTTTTTTCCCTTTGGGAAATTTTCTACAATGTGCATCCTCTAAAATTTGCCTTGATATCTGGCATACAATCAGCATAACATCCTGCAGAGCACAAACACATCATGTTCCACAGAGGCAGTCTTCTTAAATCCATTACATATGC